CACACACACACACACACACACACACACGCACCCTGGCACACTCACAGACACAACGGCGCTTACGTACACGAATAAATACATGTAAATATGGAAATATATGTGGAAAAAACAACAAAGCATGCAATGTTAAAATATTTACACCCATGTATTCTCGGACAAAAATGAAGTTCAACGTCTTTCTGTACGTGATTTAAAATTCATTGTCGTCCTCTTCAAGTGTTAAAATGTGCATCGGATGACAGGACGCAGCCATATCTTAACGTTTTTCTCCACAGGGGCATTATGTCTTAACACCGTAAGTTAGCCATAACGCCCTAACTCTTCTCATGGCCTGCTGTGGACATTGATATTGACCCCACGCTGAGGGGAAAAAGTTTGTATGAGTGTGTGTGTGTATGCGTGTGTGAGCTGGCGGGTACTGGGGTGTGTGAGCTGGCGGGTACTGGGGTGTGTGAGCTGGCGGGTACTGGGGTGTGTGAGCTGGCGGGTACTGGGGTGTGTGAGCTGGCGTGGACAGTGTCGTACATATAAGATAAGATAAGATAAGATAAGATAAGATAAGAAGGTAAGGTAAGGTAAGATAAGATAAGATAAGATAAGAAGGTAAGATAAGATAAAATAAGATAAGATAAGATAAAAAGATAAGATAAGATAAGATAAAAAGATAAGATAAGATAAGATAAGATAAGATAAGATAAGATAAGATAAGATAAGATAAGATAAGATAAGATAAGATAAGATAAGATAAGGTAAGAAGGTAAGGTAAGAAGTTAAGGTAAGGTAAGATAACGTGTGATAAGATAAGATACATCTTTACTGTCCAGGTTTGGTGTTTCAAAACGCGCACGCACACAAACACACTCACGCACACACACACACACACACACACACACACACACACAAATGCACAGATAGTCTCTATAGAAATCAATCAGGTAAAAGAAAGAAAATCATGTTGAGCCAAACTAAAAATATTTGATAATCTTGAAGGGATCTAGACGGAATATCTAGTCACTGGAAATGTAACCAGAGGCCAGTTTCGTGGTATATTCTGTGCTGCCAAGGAAGTCCAGCGGGAGCCTGATCCGCTTTCAGATTAACTAGTTCCAAGTTTGAGCTCTTTACCCTTTCAAAGAATGTCAAGGACACATTTATGAAAAGAGCACTGCCGAGCCACCCAATGACCAACAATCTTCCTCCTTTCTACCCCCTCGCCCTTTAAAAAACAAACACAAAAACCAACAAAGAACACTTAAAAAACCCACAAAAAACACCCAAACATCCAAACACCGAACCAGAAATATTCCAGATATTCCAGAAAACTGAGCCACCCCCCC